AGTTCTTTCCCCTTCAATACCTAATCACATAGATTGACTGTTGTTGCTTGTTTTTTCTCAGAAATTTAGGCTCTTACAAATTAAGAGGACATCTGTCCACAAGAAAGTTCATGTGTCCTCCAGTGGAAGGAGTTAGTGGGTACTTGAAAGGTGCTAAGATCTCCAGATAAGAATTCAAAATTGTGAGCCTGTGTTTTGAGCATGAATTGCATTTTGGGGGTTTTTCTTTTTTGTTGTTGTCTTTCTCTTAACAGTTACATGTAATGGGGATTTTTTTGCATGTTTTGGAGGAATGTGACCCAGTGAAGGAAAGAAATGCGTGCTGCAGTGAAAGAAACAAAAATGGAATCCTGGAACAATGTGGAGAAACACCAGACCCAGTGTCACTGACACATGTGCTGTGTCCAGCATTCTGTCAAAGTTTTGGTATAGTCCAGCCAGTTGTCAAACTTCTGATGATGTAAAGGTAACAGCCTCACAAGCTGAGACACTGATTTATATTAAAAAAAAGATCAGAAAAGTTAGTCTTCTGGGTTTTGCACCTAATCCCAAATCAGTTGCTTAGGTTGCATATACCTAAATAATTTTTACAGCTATGTTTGTGAAAGACTTTATAGACAATCAAAATCTTGTGGTTATCCAGAGTGATGGAGATGGAATATTGTCTGACACAGGTAACCTACAGCAAATGGGAATGTTGCTGGAGACACAAGACTGACACCATGTACAACCAGCTTTGGGTCATGCCTTCATTCTGCATCAGCTACACCTGAGCTAGCGAGCTGAGGAAGGAAGAGAACTCATAGACTGAACGCTGCATTCAAGATGAAGTTTTTCCAGGCACTGCGGGTAGTGCTGTGCCCAGCTAGTAAGCCCTGTCTGAGCCCAAAGCATTAGGAATTTCAGGCACTGGCTGTAATTCAAGGGGACCAGCTGATTCCAGGAAGGATTCTTCCTGCATTGGATACTCAAGTTTACTGAATAGGATACAAGTTGGCTCCATGTGTGGTTTTTAAGATCAGGCTCCTACAAACAGTCCTCCAGCTGCCAGAGAAAATTTGATCCCAAAGACTAAGTAGCCACAGGTGAACAGTGTGCTTCTAGTCCCAAAATCCCTGAGGGGTCTGAGCAGGCTGCACACATGAATGGCATGTCTGTCCAGTTTTACTGCTCTGCAACCACAGAGGATAAACTCCATCAATACTAGGGAAATTACTGTATGTACTGTATGTACAGTTTTTTTGTTTATAAGTTATAAACATCAGCTACCAAAATCCATATCTCATCAAAAGTTATAAAGTTATCTTGAGGCTGTTTAACTCTCATGCTTTCTGCCTCAAGTTTTTGGACTGCAGTAGCTTCCTACATTCAAACTTTTCTCTGAAATCTTAAGAACTGGGAAAAGTGTGCATATAACTAAAAATTGATATTTCATCTAGTGGAACTTCAATAGAATTATTAACTATAGGAGCTGACAACACTAAAAAGGTGAGTCTAATTTAAGCAATGATTGAAAATCACACTAAACCAAAGTCTCTAATCTGTGTGAAAATGATGCCATCCCGGCAGAGTAATGGCTTTTTATCCTTGATCTTGGAAAGGAGAGACAGCAAAAAATGTGTCATAACTCTGATGGGTTCTGGGTCAAGAATGATATATCTGGAAAAGCTATTGCTATGATTGTTACAGATTTGCTTCTTGATAGTGGTAGTTCTATTTCTTTCTAAATTATGATAGAAAGTCTAAAGTAGTGCTATTTGACATTATGATTAAATTTTATTATATTTTGTTTCAAGTATTAAATTGTTCTTATATCAACACCTAAGGTTTACTTTTTCTTTCTGAGGTGGAGGTAGACAGCAGTGAGAAAGCAGCAGTGTAGCACTTAGTTGCCAGCTGCAGTTAAACTATGACAAAGGGCCTCTAATCCTTTTCTTCCCTGTTAAATCAAACTAGTTAACAGCATGGGTTTGGGGGATTTTTAAGAAGAAATTTTCAGTCATTTTAATCATGCTGGTTACAGGTCTCCCAAGGAAGGATTTACAGGTGCCAAGCACAGGTGGGCCCATACTTTTGATGTGACTGGAGCTAGAGATGTCCTCTCCAGGGACTACTCTGAAAGCTGAGAGTTCAGGTGGAAATCACACAGAAAAGGAAGCAACTCATCCTGCCACCTAATGGTTTAGTCAGCAGCTGATGGGGGATTCAGGGGACACACCAGATTGTAGCTATGATGATATAATAGCAAGACAGAGACACCTAGTCTTAAAATGTGATCACAGAGGCAGTAGCAGAGATCACATATGCAAGTCCTCCTTGAATCTGACAAACAAGACAGTTCAAACAACATGAAACATGAAACATATTTTTGAATGCTTTACTGCTAATAACTTGAATTATGATGATGGTACACCAGGCAAGGAAGGAGTCTAAAGGCATTAGCTCTGATTATAATTTGGTACAGTTAGTTGAGCGTGGAAGCATTCATTTAAACCAAGTCACTCCCTGGCCTGTGCAGCTTCATGATTTCCTGTTGGAGGTCTCAGGACTCATCTTGCCTTTTCCTTTTTCTTCCTTTTCCTTTTTCTTCCTTTTCCTTTTTCTTCCTTTTCCTTTTTTTCCTTTTCCTTTTCCTCCTCCCTCCTTATGCAGTTCCATCTTGGGTCTAAAAAGCTGCTGTCATAAGAATTACTGAAGCTAAAAATATTGTGCTTTGTACCATCTGAAAGCTTTGCAGCCTTGAGTCATACAGAGGATAAAAAGCAATTCATCTTGAAGATCAGTGTTTTTTTAACCACTGAAACTCACATTTGAACTTAGGATTGGGAGGAGAGTGATGTTTATCATGATAATGGGATTTAAAATCTAATTCTTCATAGCCTTGTATAATGTGTACAGTATTTCACAAACTGGTACAAGCATGAGTGGGAAGGCTTGAGAATTACCAGAAAAGCTGAGATGTTAAGAAAACTGCTGTTTTGAGTGATGTTATTATTTACCTGGATAAATGTTTCCTTTCACCCAAAAATTGGAAAGACAGTGTGCATTTGTGAGACTTGGCAGTGTTCTCCAGTGGTTTTGTTGCCCATGACTAAACACAAGACAATTACATCTAATCTTTGTTATATTAGAAGCTAAGCATTGGCTTCCTTTTAATTTCTTTAGATTTATTTGTGCAACCTTCATGTTGTCCTTGTAGCTGGTCATGTGAAATTTAAGATATTTCTGTTGTCAGTTCTTCTCACACCATTTGTTCCTTGAGCTGATCTACGTAATTAAGCATCCTCATATCCTGAATAATTCTGTCCTACCCCACTGTTGGAACAAGTTTCTCTGTTGTATCCCTTCCATCCACTCATCAGAGTCATACCAGTCTTCTCCTTCCTAAGCATTCTTTCTTCTGCTCAGGAAATGCCCTTTTGGAGGTGCTTTGCAAAACCACAGCACTCTTCACCTTTAAAACTTGCCAGAAGATCAGCTTCTGTGCTTACAAAAAACTAGCTAAGTAATCTGCTTATCTATGTCATTTATCTCATGAGTGACTCCCTCCTTCCATAGAGCCTGCAGGAAGCTTTTTGATTAAATCTACTTGCTTCAATTCTGTCTTTATGAAATTCTAGATTGGCCTCATGGAGGCTGGGTTAACTTTAGGACAATCACATTTCGGATGCCACTGTTCTTCCTCCACATTTGTTAATTGTTTCCTTTGTTTCTTCTGATTAGAAACACCACCTTGTCCTGCAGATAGAGGCTTTGCTCTTCACTTGGCTCTTCGTGACTTTATCATAGCACCAAATGTGTGTCAGAGTCCACCTCTTTGGAGCTGACTGTAGGCTCAGTGTATTAGTTTGGAAGCTACTCCAGGCACCATCAATGTTTTTTGTCTCTACCAGATGTGCTCTACGATTTATGGGAGTGTTTAAAACACTGTGCAGAAAAAGTTAATAGCATTTGATGTGACTGCTGACCATTGGCATTCTACTCCATGCATTTTTCATGTTGTTTAATTTTTGTGTTTGTAACTCCAAAAACGAAGAAAAGTGTGTGGGAAGGCTCTTGATTTGTTAGTGCTCTCTGGCAAGTACACATAGTGTTATCCACTGTTTAAACTCTTTAAAAACTTCTAAAAACCAGGTATTTTAATTGAAAACAATTACTTAATAGGTAAGAGTAACAACTGAAAGAATTTTTTTTCTTCTTAAGAGGAGGTAACAAACAGAACCTTTTTGTAATTGTACTATGTAGTGTCATGAAGTAATACATACAGGGATCACTTTTATCCCTGTGTTACATTTAACTGTGGCTTCTGTTTGTCTTGTCTTTCTAATGCTCAAAAAAGAGTGGGTCTTCCCTTGCTTGCAAATACTGACTTGTATATTTAGTGTCCTCTTCAGCAGGGCTCCTCTATGTGTGGGATGTTAAGCACATGCTGTGGATATGTGGGGTGGAGTACAAGACATGCCCATTCTTTACTTGTTGTGAAAGGCACGGCCATGGTTATGTCATCATCCTAACTTGATACCAGTTTGGGGACATTATCGTCTATCAAGCTAATGGTTACATAATAATTAATATCCATAGATTCAAAGGCAGTGTTCCTCCAATTAGTAAAGGTTCCAATTTGCTCAGTAAAAACAAACTTCATTTTGAATCCCCATATTCCCTACAAGTCTTGCCTTGGAGCTGGAGGCTGGAGCTGCATGAATGGAGCTAATTGTCTGGTTACTTTTCCTGCCATTTGGGGAAAGGATTGCCTGGGGATGAGTCCTGAACTGCACCATAAGCATTAGTAATTTGCTAGATGGGAAACAAAGGACCTGTTTGAATACTTGGCAGTTACTTCTGACTAGCTCCCTGGTTGCAGTCCCTGAGTAGAAGGTGAAAGAGGGTAAAGGAAGGGGTAAGAGCCCTCAGGAGAGTGTATGTTCCTTCTGTGAACTGGTTGAGAGCTTTGCTGTAGAACATGCCATCAATGTTGGCTTTTTCTTTCCCTCTTCCAGCTCAGCTTATGATACCAAAACAAGACAGAAGGTGGCAGTGAAAAAGCTTTCAAGACCTTTTCAATCACTTATCCATGCCCGGAGGACCTACCGAGAGCTTCGGTTGCTTAAGCACATGAAGCATGAGAATGTAAGTGGAGAGTGAGTTCTTCCTTTTGGATTTCCATTACAAAAGTTTACAATATAGGCTTAATTTCAGTTTTTCCAGAAGGTGTGTGCAACTGTCTAGCTACCCAAGATACCTGGACCTAGCCACCTTAGATGTAGTGAAGTCACTGGACTTCAGAAACTTTCAGTAACAGGCTGCATTTTTATTTTAAAAATAGCTAATTAAATCTTGAAGGTGAGGTTAATGGAACTCAAAACAAGTCATTGTACTCTAGTAAAGCAATAAAAGTATTCTATTTACTAGTATTCTAAAAGTATTCTAATTACTAGTGTTGAAACACATTGAAAAATCAGCCCAGGAAAAAAAAAAGACTCCACACCTCAGACCTGCTTTTACTGAATGTGGATTCTGTTGAGAATTAAGGGCAGGTTACTCTTGTTAAAATTGACAAGAGTGTAATGGCTAAAGGAAAGACAGTAGACCTTCAGATCCCACATGACTGAGTACTGGTCTGAGTTTATGTGGCAAATGATTGATTTCAGTGGAGCCTCCTCTTGCTTAAAGGTAGCTTGATAACTTGAAGCCTGAATAAAATATGATTGATTGAAAAGTATCCCAGAGAAAGGATAAAAAAGTTAACAAAAACAGACCAAGAAAACTCATGAAAGCATGCATAATCTAAAGTCTAACAATTGTATAAGGCATGTGTCAGTTTTTCTGTAATGAAACATTACTTTTTCTGCCTTTATTTTTTTTTTACTCTTTGTAATTAAGATTGTAATTAAGATGGCTGTTGTGATACCTTTATAGATCACCTACTATGTCAGTTTTCAGTATGACCATATGTCATATTTTTATAAGTTTCATCCCAAAAATGCTGAGCATTGACAATACAAATTACATGTTGCTTTGCAGGTTTGTAGAAATGTCACTTCCTTCCCCTTCTTTCATTTTACAGGTTATAGGACTGCTAGATGTTTTTACACCTGCAACATCAATAGAAAACTTTAATGAAGTGTAAGTAAATTTTTTTAAATAATTCTGACTAGTTACTAACTAAGTAAATACCATTCTGGTTTTAAAAAGAAAGAACATACATTCTTAAAAGACTTTCAGCCACAGTCAGCTTTGTAAAAATCTTTTTGCAACTTTCCTATAAAAGAGGAGACAGAGAGATGGACTTAATTTTTGTACTTTTCTAAATGAAAATTTAAATTATTTAAATTAGCTATAAAGGTATATGGTAAATTATTTAATGCTGCATAAATGGCAATGAACTTAAAACTTTTTCAGTTCAGTTGTGTGTTTGTGACCTGTAGATTATTTGTTCATACACAGATGGCAGAGTTCAGGAGTGCAGGAAAGTATTCTGTTAGTTAACTGAGACAAGCTAAATTTAGGCTAGAGTCCTGGCTAACCTAAAACTAGGTATATTTTGATGTGACTCAAACGTATGATTTATGCTGATTTCCTTCTGGTTTACATAATTGTATAAGCACTTAAGTAAAGACTGTAGCAGAAGAAATAGTAATTAACATGTTTTTGTCTCCGTGGAAATTAGCGACCAAACCCCTTTGAATCTGGGGCAAAATTACAAAAATGGGAATTGGGTATGACAGATACATACTTTTGTTCCAGCACTGTATTTGGAAAAGAATCAATATTTCTGCAAAATTTGTCAAAAAAGAAAACTTCTAGTGGGAACAGAAAGGGAAGTTACACAAAACACTCTTATTTCTACCACTCTAATATTACCCTCTATCATCAGATATTCCAGGGCCTTGCAGGTCCTGTAGTTTTGGTGCCTCGGGCTTCCACTTTGATGTTTTGTGAAGCTTCCTCTTCATCAAAATATATGTTGCATTTATCACTGCTGTAGTGTGGAAAAAACAGAGATAAAAGCTTCCAATATACTGCAAGGATTTTTCTTTTTTATTATATTAAGTTTCATAGCAGTGATTACATTATTAGATCTCATCGCTGATTTAAAGCATATAAAATGTGTTAGTAGACAGTGGAAAAGGAACCTAAATGGCCTGTATGGATACTCTTCTAGAAAAGAATTTATGTTCTGCCACTGTGTGTTGTTTTTTTCCTCACTTCTTTAATTTCACAGATATCTTGTGACAAATTTAATGGGTGCTGACCTGAATAACATAGTGAAGTGCCAGAAGTTAACAGATGATCATATACAGTTTCTCGTCTATCAGTTACTTCGAGGTCTTAAGGTACAGTCTGAGTCCAAGAACCTAAATGTTGTAGTAATGAGTCAGCAATCTAAATGTAAGGACTGGTTGGTCGCAATGAGCATACTTAAACACTTTTTTTTTTTTTTAATGTCTTAAAAGTGTGCAAATAGTAGCAATCATTTCAGAACTTATCAGATAATTTTTCTAACCAGAAATAAACCCCCAACCCTACCAATGTTTACATGCACAATACACGTGAATACTCCCCTTGAAAGTTAATTTTAGATCAGTGTCTATTTCAGTTCCTATTGCAGGACAGTAACATGCTAGATAATATCTCAAAAATACTTTAGAATGTGAAGCGGATAAAGAACAATAATGGAAAATAACTTACATTTGGGCTTTGAAAGACATGAGTCAGTTTGAAAAACCACAGTCCTGATTTTTGTAGAGAGTGTCACATGGGTGAAGAGATAACCAAGTTAGTTGGGTCCTTTGGGAAATGCCTGAAAGTAGAAATTTATCCCAGCAGTGTACAATGCTGCACACAATCACTTAGGATTTAGTCTGTCTGTAAAGCCATTATTTCCTTTAATCGTATCAGTTAAAATTTATACACTTTAATAACACAGGCAATTGACTCTACATCAAAATTTTCCTCCAAAAGAATCAAAATATGTGTAAATTTGCTGATGTTTAACGTGTGTCTATAAACAGAAGGTGTAGGTAATGCTTCCTATTACTAGGTGCTAAGCTTTTTCTTAGACCAGTATGGGTTTTCTTGAGGTATAAGCAAACAGAAAAGAGGTCAGCATTTTTACTAGCTAACTTAACAGTAATTGATATTTTAGACATGAAAAATAATTATATGTTTGAAAGCAAGCCATGGTAAATACTGGCTCTGAAATATACTTATTACATGATTTTCAGCAAGTCACCTTGTGCCTGAGACAGTAATTCTTATTCATGCATGCAGGTTCTGTCACTTAAGGTACAGATTGCAGTGAATAAAAATTGTACAACTGAGCCCTTAATTGCTTTGTCTCATTTATGTGAGTTAATAGCTTATTTAGGAAGATGGATTCTGGCATTAATTATCCTGCTTGTGGTTTTGAATACAAGTCTAAGTTGTGTCAAAGGTAAATAATAGTAAGAATCTGCTCTAAGTGAATCTTAATTTCAGAAATGCACTCAGGTGCATTTTTGGCTATGTTTCAAAGGGGAGGGGTTGCTAGTGGCTCCTCTCTTCTGGAATTGAAATTCTTATGAAATTCTCATGTCTCATTAGTCAAAGAACATTTGATCCTGTATATGACTGCTTGATGGCACCAGGAGGGGCTGCTGTGGTTGTCTCAGCAGAGCAGGGATGCAGCTCCTTCTGTTGATAGCAGTGTTTTGGCTTCCTGTTCATTCAGCTGCTTGCAGCTGCTGTGAGAAACATTGAGAGGTGACACTGCCTTCTGATAAACAGTTCTTAGGTCTGGAACACGAAGAATGCCCTTGCTTTCTCTTTGAGTTTTCCCAGTTCCTATACAGGTTTTGTGTATAACCCCTTCTCCTAAAAGAGGTGAATTCACCTCTGGAGAATAGAAGGTTTTCAAGGCCCTCCTCATGCTGGTTGATAAGATCATAGATAAACTTGCTGTTAATCCTAACTAGAAGATGATAGGCGAGGACAGAGTAAGCGGTTCTCAATTTTTTATTTTAAATGTTTTATGTAGAATAACAGAGACATAAAATAGCTGCTGAAATACCACTTTGAAAGTGGACCTGAAGTAATGCTGTGGCTTAGGTGGTATTTTGGTCACTAACCTGTCCCAGAGAACAGGTGTGGCTGCTTTCACCCACATCAGTGTTCACAGTATGGGAAGGTGACTTACAGCATGTAGGAGTCAACCATGCTGCTCCCTAGGCCACTGATTTCACTAGCCAATAGCTAGTGATATGAACAATGAATAGCTGACCAATGAACAGTGGCTATGGACACCCAGGGAAGGCTAGAACAAATTCCAAGTTGATAAGAGTCTTTATACAGAAGAATCACTGTAAGTGCTGCCTTTCATGGTAGAATCTAGATTTCATTGTTACCTTTCTTGAAATACCCAATTCCGGGTAAGACAAAACAGGGGGGTTTTGAAGTTTGACATACCTCTGATCTGAAAACATGGCTTGACATAAGTACTTTCTGTATATAGAACAGTCAGTCTCAGAAGCAAAAAATAAGACAAGTGGCTTCAACCTCCCTTCATCTCCAATTTCAAATCTTACCCTTGTTTTGTTTTGTTTCACAGTATATTCACTCAGCTGGAATCATCCATCGGGTGAGTTCAGTCTTTGAGGTAATGAAAATGAGTGGAGTGTGTCCCTCTGTGCATCAAATGTGTTACAATATATTTTAAATACATATATATATATATATATATATATATACACAAATAGTTACAATATATTTTAAAAGGTTGAAGTAGTACTTGACTAACTCTGTGTTCTGCTACAGGACCTGAAGCCCAGTAACCTAGCTGTAAATGAAGACTGTGAATTGAGGGTGGGTATCATGCTGTTGTAACAAAGAGTGTTGTAGAAACTCTCAAGATGACAGTTTTCTAAGAAAATGTTAGTTACCGTTCTTATGGCTCGTTCCATTAATTTCAACTGTTTGCTACTTGCCCATTTCCAGTGAACATGTGTTTTCTCCCAAACATTAATTTAATATGAATGAAAATATCTTGCCAAATCCCTATGTACCCCACAGATGGTACATAGATAATAGTTTGGCCCCTAAGTGAGTACTTAACTGAGTATATCTTGAGAGTCTGACCTGTGACATGTATCTGCATCTGCCATGTATAGATGAAGTCTTGTAACAATTTTCATTTTTGTATCTACAGAACGTACAAGGTAAATTAAATTATATATACCAGTATTACCAGTTACAGGCAGTAAGAGAAACAAAAAAAAAAAAACTGACCAACCAGAAAGAACTCTATAATCCTTGCTTCCCAAATGCTATTTTGTTGTACACATCTATATAAATGCATCTTGTGGTGTGTCTGTGTGATATGATACTACATAGTAAGCATGAGACTCTGAAGGAAACGATGTCTTGTAGCTTCCTAAGACTTTAAGCTTAAGAATGAGAAGTTAAACACTTCTCTATGACAGCCAGAAACATCTTTATTCCTGTTTCTAAGACTCTGATGTAATCACTTTATTCCAGCTGCAAGGGATTTAAGAAAAGACTCCAAATACCACAAAATCAGCAAAAAATCAAAATAATGAGTAAGAGTAGTGCAGTTAGGTTCTTGCACTAATGCGGATCTGTGGTGAGAAACTGTAGTTCCTGTTTGATTTAGTGACACTTGCAGATGCTCAGCAAGTTTCATTATTATCTCTTTAATGTCTTCATGCATGTATGTTCAGCATCTGTGAAATTTTGTGGGTCATCTGTCTTTGATCGTGTACTCTAAAATGTGTACTGTATTTTTGTACTGTAAGTAAAGGAGACTGTTTTTTTCTATTATTATGAAATCTGTACACCTCTCCTCCCTGTCTAGCATTTGTTACACTACTCTCTGCTTTGTTTATATTTATAGCTTTACTTCCTCAAATTATTTTTAATAGGACAAACTAGTAGATATTTCCAAGTACTAACAAAAAGGAAATAGAAGCAAAAAAAAAAA